TTTATTAAAATATATATGCACTTACAAACATGCCTGTAACTACTCCAAAATGGCTGCTGCAGTTTTTCCAGTGTACGTGGTTGCGTCAATTCAGGCATCTGATGCCACTTCTATGAAAATGTTTTTAATCTCCTCCTCATAATCCTTTCTATCTAAAATGACAACTCGTCCCCCCTTATCAGCAGGGCAGAATTAATGTCCCTCTTCTTTTCCAGTTCAGTTCAGTCCACTTTAAAAATATTTTGGGAGATAATAAAAACCCCACCCAGGAATTAAGAAAGAACTAAAAATACTGCTAAAACAAGCTAATATTCGATATCGGTGTATTGGATGAGAAAGATACAGAATATTTGGTGCCTTCAGCCTGTAGAATACCAACTCTATAATACCTACCAAAGATCCACCAAAGTCTCATGAAACCTCCTAGGAGGCCTATTATAAGTTAAATAAATTCAATACATTCAAGGTTAGAGGAGTATGTAGATAATTATTTACAATGCATTGTTACACAAATGCCGGCATATTTTAAATATGGGTAGGATGTTATCAAATTAATTGAAGGCATGGAAATTGGGCAAAATATGATATTGGCCATTATTGATGTAAATTCATTGTATACTAACATACGACACCAAGGTGGAGTAGAGCGGTCAATGGGCCATGAGGAGCTTTAATGATTTGAAAAGAGTACAGAGAAAATGTATCATTCAATATTTAAAGTTGGGAATGACAAAGAATTACTTCTGGTGTAGAGGCGAATATGATGTCCAAAAGAAAAGTGTTGCCATGGGGGACAAGTTTGCTCCCAGCCTAGCTAACATCTTCATGGTAAAATTGGAGCAGGAATCAATCTTTGGTCAAAAATGGGAGGGTCTTAAATTATGGAAAAGATTTATAGATGACATTTTGCTAATCTGATAGGAAATATGAATCTTTAGAAAAATTCTTGGAGCTTATTGATAATAATGAATATGACATAACTTTTTCAAAAACAGTGAATATACAGTACATGAGGTAAATTTTTTAGATCAAAACATTTTTATAGAATAAGCCAGACTTTATATGAAAACATACTTTAAAAGCAGGGACAGGAACTGGTATTTCCCATATCCAGCTGTCACTATTCAAGGAGGGTGGAATATGCACCCAAAGGGCAGTTTAACTGCATTATACGTAATTGCTTGAAATTGGAAGATTACATTATACAATCCAATGTGATCAAGCAGAGGTTCAGAGATAAAGGTTATGTCCCAGTGAGATTAGAAAATATAAGATTCCAGGTTAGTAAAAAGTATTTTGGTGGAAAAAGGGAGAATACTTTAAAAAAAATGGAGAAATGGGAATAAGAATATAGAATATGGTTTTATTTTGAATTACAATTGCCATTATAGGGAGATTGAAGACATCATAAGGAAGTATTTACCAATTTTAAGAAAGAATAGGATTTTGGTATCTCTGATTCCCCTCAACCACAATTTATACTCTATATCGCAAAGCTAGGAATCTTAAAACTAAGCTTTTAAAAAATGGAGTGTCCCCACACAAAACGAAAAGTGGAATGATGTTTGATTTAAAAGGTTTTTTCCCATGTGGACAATGTAATATTTGTCAAACCACTAAAACAACTAAAAGGAGAGTTCAAGAATTTGGAATATAACAAAAAAGAGATATCAGATAAAGGAATTCATCCCATGCAATACTTCATTTGTGACTTACCTACTGGAATGTAGTTGCGGTCTACAATATGTAGGCCGCACTACCAGGAAACTACACATTAGGTTAAGTGAACATATACAAAATATAAAAAGGGTATAAAAAAGTAATTATTTATCTAGACATTTCCAGAAAGCTCATAACCGTGGTCCATCACAATTAAAATTTTGTGGCACTGATGTTATTCATAAGCATTGGAGAGGTTCTAATAAGACGAGAGACAGCTCCAAAAATTAAACTTTTTGGATATTTGAACTTGATAGTTTACACCCAAAAGGCCTTAATGTTGATTTCGATTTCACCACTAGGGGGAGAATAGTTGTGAGTTATATAGTGAATTATAGTATAATGTAATGTCAGTCCCTACCACTAGGAGGAGAAATCCCACTGGGAGTAGTAAAGAGGGAACTAGGATAGTAGTTAGAGGTTGTATGTAATTGGAAATCTTACCACTAGAGGGAATACCAAGGTTTACAAATGGGCAATTTTTATAAAATGAAAATTTTATAAAATAACAATTTTTATGGAGGCTTAATATTATGAATAATAGTTTATTTATATGTATATGTCTTATAGCCTTTTGTTTGTATAGGAAGTAAATGTGAGGTGTATGTTTAATTATGTTTAATGATGGAAGCATTACGTTCCTCCTGTCTGTATGTCAGTTAGAATAGGGGGATGGTCCTTGTGCACTATTTTGAATGGCCCTGCCTATATGCTGATTAACACAAATGGTCAGTCCTATTTACCATCACAGTCTGAGCTGAATAGAGGAAATGGAGACTTTCCCTTAAATAAAATGGAGATATGTAGGGCAAGTATTGGCAGAAGTGAAGTATAGAAGTTACTGATGCATCTGTTTAACCCATTCCTGCCCAGCCCACATCCCTTTAGGGGATTGTTTACACGAACTTTGGTCTCTGAAGAGCGATATGCATTCAGATCACTCTTCAAAGAGCAGTTGGCAGGCAGTGAGGAGATGTATAACCTCCTCACTACCTGCTTCAACCTCTAGAACCCCACACCAGCACACTGAAACTGCATGCATTGCATGCAGTTGTGAGATGCTTACAAAGCAGCCTCATTCGCTTGAATGGGTCACATTCAGCAGGCACTGTGCCCACAGAAAGCAACAGAGGATAGAATTTCTTGCACGGCCACAAAACATCACAGTGGCAGTATGTGTACACCCCAACCCTGTGTTGCCAACCATCCATAAATTTACAGACAGTTTGTGCAGTGTATAAAAGACCCTTTTCTCCTATCTGCAAATGTTCATGAACAGTAGAAAGGTGCCTGTAAAAAATCCCTTTGTCATAGTCTCTGACTGCCAGACTCTGATGTAAGGAGGCAATCTGCTGGACTCTGATGTAAGGGAGCACTCCACCAAACTCTCATGTAAGGGGTACTCTGCTGGTTTCTGATGTAAGGGGGCAATCTGCTGGACTCTGATGTAAGGGGAGCACTCTAGACTCTGCTAGACTCTGATTTAAGGGGGACTGTAATGTAAGGTTGTTTCACTCTGGGGACACTGATGTAAGGGAGGACTCTGATGTGAACGTGGCTCTCATCCTGATTGCTACACTCCATATGTTGTTTTGTTTTTTACTTATTCTGACCCCTGTACTCTGTACATTATGCATAGGTATACATAGACCTGACCAAGGTGTTCATTTTCTCAACAGTTGCTGGTTTTAATGGAGTTCTTCTTTAAGGAAGGCCCAGTAAGGCAGCCCAGACATTATTCTTTTTTTTTTCATTCAACAATATGTCTAACAAAAAAAAAAAATTTCTCGATTCTCTCATCCACAAATTTAATGTGGCTGGGGAATCACTCCCGTCAAAGTAATGTGTTCTGACAGCGAAGACTTCAATGCCACCAGAATATACTGATTAGTGCTGCCAGCTATAGCCGGAAGTGCTAACTGCACAGAACTTTTGCCAGAGGCTGATTGTACAGAAGACGCTTGGTAGATTGACTTCTGTACTACCAGCCTTCCCATATGTGGATCAAAATTCAACCAGTCCCTACTGAACCAGATGAATTTTGATCCAAGTATGGCCGCCTAGGGCAAAAATATCATTTTTGTGTATATAAAAAAAAACATATGAAATGGAAACAATTAATGAAAAAAATGTTCCTTTGTCCTGAGGTTTATTTGTGTCTTTGAGACTGTCAGTTGTGGCACAGTATTTAGTATTTTGTGGGTACGAGGAGTGTGGTATAGGTGTGCATTGTAAACAGCAGGCACAGATTCTGTTCAATCCCCCTTTAAGACCCTCCCACTGGTCAGCCACAGAACGTATTTCTCTGTTCTTTTCCAGGGTTTCCCATGTTTTTAATAATCCCAGTCTGGCTCACATTTTGTCATCCTATTTTGACTTTTAATTGTGTTGCCAGTCAGATTACTCATTATGAGTATTGGTAATATTGTCAAAGTTTACATATTGTTTATACTGTTTAGAGGCTAAATTCGCCTTTAAAAACATATTATATGCCCTGTGCACTGCTGACCCCTGTACAGTGACCCTTGTACACTTCTCTGCTGAATGATTGTCCTCTGCCCTGCTGATCCCCTGTACACTGGCCTACAAACTGCTGATCCCTGCAATACACTACCATACTGACCCCTGTCCTCCACTCTGCTGACTGCCCGTCTTCTGCCCTGCTAATGCCCTGTACACTGCCCTACAAACTGCATATTCCAGCCCTTTGCTCTGTTAATTCCTGTTCTCTGCCCTGCTGACCCCCAGTACACTCCGCTACTAATTCCTGTTTTTGTGCACTGCCCTGCTGACCTTTTATCCTCTCCCCCCCCTGACATTTTTTACTGCACCCCATATCAGACTGGCTAGATCTGGCCCTGATTAGCCTTTCTTTTTTGGAGACTATTGTCACAAGTCACACTGGTAAAGAGCAGGAAGGAGGAATGGTTTATTAAAAGCACAGTTTATTGGAAATGAATGAACTTGGAGTGCCTTTGGTGAGGTGATACACTTGGTAGATCCTTCTATGGGTATTAATGGGAATGCACAGTTAATATAATATAATGCAACTGGCTTTCTATCTGGGAGAGATTTTTAGAAAACAGTATTGCACTATATTGGTATTTTGTATTTTGGGTGAAATCGTGTGGATCTTCATATGTGATAACTAGAGATGAGCGAAGTATTCAAAAATTTGATTCGGCTGATTCGGCGAATTCGAGGAATAAATTTGATTCGATGCGAATATATTCGCTGCGATTTTAACTTATAAAAGGGTGTTTCTAGGCTTCAGAGAGCCTTTATATTAGTGCAGAACACTGTACCTTTAATTTAAATGCCCTTGGAGTCTGCTGGGGAAGAGAAATAATACTGTCAGTCAGTATGACATGCAGATGAGTGCCGTCGATCTTAGAATCACTGCACACTTCACTCATTTGGGCAGTCACGGGGCCAAAACCAGAGTGTGGAGCCACAGTGTGGCGGTGGAGGCAGCAGCAATGGGAGGCCATACAGCACCCTATGACAAAAATGGAACCCACCAGCAGTGTGAGGAGACCTGAAAGTGGCACATGGCAGAGTGTGGCGATGGAGACAGCAGCAATGGGAGGCCGTACAGGGACCCATGACACACTCTGGACCTGGCAGCAGCATTAGGAGGCGGTACAGGGGCCCATGGCAGATTACGGGCCTGGCAGCAGCAATGGGAGGCCCGTAATCTGCCAGCACCCTATGACAAAATGGAACACACACAGCAGTGTGAGGAGACCTGAAAGTGGCACATGGCAGAGTGTGGCGATGGAGACAGCAGCAATGGGAGGCCGTACAGGGACCCATGACACACTCTGGACCTGGCAGCAGCATGAGGAGGCGGTACAGGGGCCCATGGCAGATTACAGGCCTGGCAGCAGCAATGGGAGGCCCGTAATCTGCCAGCACCCTATGACAAAATGGAACCCACCAGCAGTGTGAGGAGACCTGAAAGTGGCACATGTTTGGGGCATGATTCATGGCGGATTTAGTCAGTTGTGTCAGGAACTGGTGGTTTGAAATCCAGACTAATCCACGCCTGATTCATTTTCACAAACGTGAGTCTCTCCACACTTTGGGTGGACAGTCGTGTCCTCCGCGGAGTTACAATATCTCCTGCCACACTAAACACGCGCTCTGATGCCACGCTACTGGCCGGGCATGACAGCCTTTCAAGGGCAAATTCAGCTAGTTGGGGCCAAAGGTCAAGTTTCGTTGCCCAGTAGTCAAGGGGATTGTCTACCTCGGTTGGCAGGGTGCTGTCCAAGTAGGCCCAAGCCTGTTGTTTGAGGTCCTGCTCCAGGTCCACCTGATGCTGCTGCTGCTGCGGCTGGTTAGTAGTTTCCTCACTGCGCTGGTGAAGAAAGCTACTCATCATCGACTGCAGACTGAGGCAGCCGCTGCTGGTGGAGCTGCCACTGCTCCTACCACCCCACCCCTCCCCTGCTGCCATGGCAGCGGAACGCGAGCGCACAGGGCCCACAGTGTCTGAGGATGGACGTTGGCGCAGAAAGGCAGAGACCAGCTGACTATATAGGTGGTTTTTATAGTACTTTATTTTGGCCTCCCTCTCAGCAGGTGTGAAAAAGGCCACCATTTTTGAACGGTAGCGAGGGTCCAACAAGGTGGACAGCCAAAAGTCATCCCTCTGTCTGATGGTTATTATTCGGCTGTCGCTACGCAAGCAACCGAGCATGCTATGGGCCATTTGTGCCAAGGAATGCGAGGGACTCCCTGCCTCCATCTCCACAGCATACTGCCGCGGTGCGTCTGGGTCCTCTGTCTCCTCCTCCTCCTCCTCTACCAGATGCTCCTGCTCCTCCACTCCTGTCCGCTGAGTGGAAAAACCACCCATTTCACTCAATAATTCCTGAGCACCAATGTCCTCCTCTACCTCCTCCTCTTCTTCCTGTCCTGCCCCCACAGGGGTCATGTGGCGTTGAGATCTGTGCGCCACGTCTACCGCACCCTGACCAGCCATTGTTGTAACAGCATTTGTTCCAGGACGTGCAACAGAGGAATGACGTCGTTCATCCCATAGTCCTGCCGACTCACGAATAGCGTGGCCTCCTCAAAGGGCCTGAACAAGCGGCAGGTGTCACGCTGTGATGGCCTTTCGCTGTTTGTAAAGGACGGTCTAACATATGTAGTATGGTTTTGAATTCCACCTTGTATGCAAACGTTCACAGCATGGAGGAGTCGGTGACGGGGGAGCCCATGGCAGATTACGGGGCAGGCAGCAGCAATGGGAGGCCCATAATCTGCCAGCACCCTATGACAAAAAATGGTACACACCAGCAGTTGTGAGGAGACCTGAAAGTGGCACATGGCAGAGTGTGGGTGGCATGGAGACAGCAGCAATGGGAGGCTGTACAGGGACCCATGAGAGACTCTGGACACTGGCAGCAGCAGAGGGCGGGTACACAGTGGGGCCCATGGCAGATTAAGGGGCCTGCAGCAGCAATGGGAGGCCCGTAATCTGGCCAGCACCCTATGGACAAAATATGGGAACACACCATGAGTGTGAACTGGCACGTGGCTCTGGCAAGCACAATGGGAGGCATCCTATGTTGGTGGAAATGAGAGGATGAGGATTGGGTGCGGGCCATATGGAGCAGAGGTAGATGGGGCCCTGGCAGCAGCAATGGGGGGAAGGGCGTACATGGACCCAGAAGACTGGAACCACCTGGCTAGCACATGAGGAGGAATGGAAATGGCGAAGACCCATGGCAATTAGGGGCAGTGGCAGCAGCTATGGGGGCCGTAATCTGGGCAAGCACCCTGAAAAAAATTAATGGGCGGGACACAAAACCAGCAGTGTGAAGGACCTGAAAAGTGGCACATGGCAGAGTGTGGCGATGGAGGTAGCAGCAATGGGATTACAGGGACCCATGAGAGATGTATTGGACCTTGCTGCTAGCAGCATGAGGACCGGTACTGGGCCCATGGCAGATTACGGGCCTGGCAGCAGCAATGGGAGGCCCGTACGGTAATCTGCCAGCACCCTATGACAAAAAATGGAAACACACCAGCAGTGTGAGGAGACCTGCAAGTGGCACATGGCAGAGTGTGGCGATGGAGACAGCAGCAATGGGAGGCCGTACTCAGGGTCCCCATGAGAGACTGTGGACCCTGGCAGCCAGCATGAGGAGGCGGTACTGGACCCCATGGCAGATTACGGAGCCTGGCAGCAGCAATGGAGGCCCGTAATCTGCAAGCACCCTATGACAAAATATGGAACACACCAGCAGTGTGAGGAGACCTGAAAGTGGCACATGGCAGAGTGGTGGCGATGGAGACAGCAGCAATGGGAGGCCGTACAGGGACCCATGAAGTACTGTGGACCTGCAGGAGCATGCAGGAGGAAGCGGTACAGGGGCCCATGGCAGATTACAGGCCTGGCAGCAGCAATGGGAGGCCCGTAATCTGCCAGCACCCTATGACAAAAAATGGAACCTTGTCTACCAGCAGTGTGAGGAGAGCCTGAAAGTGGCACATGGCAGAGTGTGGCTGCGATGGAAGACAGCAGCAATGGAGGCCGTACAGGGACCCATGAGAGACTGTGGACCTGGCAAGCAGCATGAGGAGGCGGTACTGGGGCCCATGGCAGATTACGGGCTTGGAAGCAGCAATGGGAGGCCCGTAATCTGCCAGCACCCTATGACAAAAAATGTAACACACCAGCAGTGTGAGGAGACCTGAAAGTGGCACATGGCAGAGTGTGGCGCGATGGAGACAGCAGCAATGGGAGGCCGTACAGGGACCCCATGAGAGACTGTGGACCTGGCAGCAGCATGAGGAGGCGGTACTGGAGCCCATGCAGATTAGGGCCTGGCAGCAGCAATGTGGAGGCCCGTAATCTGCCAGCACCTATAACAAAAAAAAAATGTAACACCCCAGCAGTGTGAGGGAGACCCTGAAAAGTGGCACATGGCAGAGCTGTGGCGATTGGAGACAGCAGCAATGGGAGGCCGGCCTACAGGGACCCATGAGAGAATCTGGACCTGGCAGCAGCATGAGGAGGCGGTAAACAGGGGCCCCATGGCAGCATTAGGGGCCTGGCCGCAGCAATGGGAGGCCCGTAATCTTCCAGCACCCTATGACAAAAAATGGAACACACCAAAGCAGTGTGAGGAGAGGCCCTGAAAGTGGCACAATGTTTGTCCCAGCAACAAGTGATTCCATGGCGGGATTTAGTCAGTTGTGTCAGGAACTGGTGGTTTGAAATCCAGACTAATCCACGCCTGTTCATTTTCACAAACGTCGAGTCTCTCCACACTTTGGGTGACAGTCGCACGTAGACCTCCGCGGAGTTTTACAATACCTCCTGTCTTGCAGTGGGATGGTAGAATTTTAGGAAATCCCGCTTGACAACCAGATTGATACACGTGAGCCATGCATGGCGCATGGCACATACAACTTCCTTGACGCAGAGCAGGACCACCATAGTTCTTTCCGTTGTCGGTCAACATGGTTCCCGATTTTCAGTTTGTGCGGAGACAGCCATCTGTCGATTTCTCTGTTCATTACACTCATATGAAGTTCCTCCCCTGTGTGACTAACGTTCGCCAAGGCCTACCAGTGAGGAGCACAGCGTGACACCTTGTACCGTTGCAGCCCTGCACATGTGATATGCCGGGTCGGGTAGAGGTAATGGGAGCTTGTGCACGGGGGTGGCGGCTACGAGGACACGGCGGTTAGAAGAAGGTGGTATAGGCGGACAAATCTTTTGTGGACGAAGGATTCGTGACAAAACGTGGAGCCAAACGATGCGGCCCCCTACTGTGACCCATGTCCAAGTTGCTGGTGCGGGCTGTGCTGGCACCCACGTTCCCAACACTAGTGGGCCGTCAAATTACATGTTACTTGTCCCTGACCGTAGTTACAGCTCTCACACGTCGGCGCAGCCGTGCAACTTTGGCAGAGACCGACATGCTCAAAGAATAGACTGGCCCACCATCTCTTCTACATGTGAATGCAGGGCTGGCACTGCCTTTTTTGTTGCGCGAAGAAAGGATGCCCGCGGCTTGGCACGCTCCACCCCCCCCGCCGCGGCGCGGCACAACAAGCCATCATTTCTCAGAAAAAAGGTGCTGAGTCCCACCCCTTGGAAAGGGAGGGACTGGCAAATCCGCACCAGCAACTTGGACCCTGGAGGAAAGCCGACGTTCAGCTTGTTGCCACCGTACGGCGTGAGCGTGCTCGCAAACTGTTGTCTCTTGGAAACGGATTCCAAGAAAGACTGCTGACGGAATCCGGGAAGAGGAGAAGTAGCAGGCGAAGGAGCATCTGAACGAGCGGAAGATGCCAACGAGCGACAACTTCATCCCCTCAGCAGAGGTGTTTGGAGCCTTGACTGGCTGATAAGGGCGATTGACTCGGGATGACGGAGCAAGTAACGGAGCGGGTGATGGAGCGGGGTCTGGGGCAGGCATGAACCGCCGTATCTTTATCACGGTTTTCCCCAGGCCACCAAATGGCGACGCTGCTTATGCTGACGCAACGCTGTAGTCCCAACATGGGCCCCCTGGCCACGCTTGACTTTCTGGCCACATAGTCGACATACGCGCTACGTTTACTTCCTCGGTGGCGGCTTGACGAAAATTAAGCCACACCGTCGAGTAGGAAACTTTGCCCCCGATACTCCTCACTGAGCTGACTGCTACTTCCTCCGTGCACACCACCGGCACCACTACTGGCCGTGGTGGTAGGCATGCAGTGGAGCTGGTGCTCTACCCCAACTTTACTCCGTGGCCATTTGCCTCACTGACACTGGCTGCTACCCTGCCCACTGTGCCTCCCTGGGCAACCCACCGACTGTTTTTGTTCGCTGCCAAGCTGCCACCCTCTTCTCCTGATGAATGCGGAAGCAATAGACCTGATGACGACGTGGCCTGCCAAGTGCGATCAAGCCTCTTCATCTTCAATACGGTCTCCGCGCTCACTACTAAGCCCCCTCGGCTGCGTTACTGGGTCAGGAGACAGACCTGTCTCTAGACCGGTTACCGAGCCACTCTCCTCGCCACTACTTCCCTTTGCCTGGCTTTCCCGAAGAGGCGGATTTCTCCCCCCGTTCCTTTAAACCCCCCTCGTTAGCTCTTCCCCCCTGTACAGTGGGGGGTGAGGGCCCCCAGCCCTGCATACTTTCCCCTTGGGGAGGGAACACCAAAAGGGCAGGGGCAAGTAGAGGGGCCCCGTGATTTCAGTGGGGTTGCTCCCGGGGCCCTGCCAAAAATAACGGGTTTTGTCTGACCCTACCCAAACCCACCATTGGCTGTTTGGTTTTCCAAAA